CAATTACAAGCCAGGAAGGAGGCTCCATGGCTGGAGATGTATGTTTGTTGAGGAATTCGATCATGGTAGTTCTTTGTAGGCTAGAGTAGTATATATTTATACTGTGAAGTAGAAACCAAGCCTGCATTATTGAATAGTCAATCATCGCATGAGACACGTGTATATATATTTTTTAAAAATAATGTATGCAAAGAAAGTACCATATAACTGACTTTTCAAGTCAAGTGGTTTTCAAGTTACTTTAAAGTACATTGTCCCCTTCGATGAATTCGAATCCATCTTTGTCTACTTGTTCAAAAAAAACAAAAAAGTAACACGTGCTTATTGGCCTTCGAATGTCTCCATTTAAAGGAATGGCGGTAAGAGATTAAGAAAATGAAAATTAATTAATAAATTAACCAACTAAATTAAACAAAATTATACTGTTTTGCCGCTCAAATTTTAAATTAAGTTAAATATTTAATTGGTCCCTCAACTTTTACTTTTAAATTAATTTTGTGCTCAAACTTTAAAAAAATTAAAAGTATCCTTAAACTTTAATTTTTGATACCGATTTTAATCATTCTATTAGTTAAGTGATGATCTGTACATATTTTTTGAGATGTTATATTTTTTAAATCTCGATAATAGAAAGAAAGGAAATACTTTTTGTATAATTTTTTTATCTCACATTTTTATACAAACTGATATGTCATTAAAATGATTAATTTTTTTAATTCATATGATTAAATACATTTATTAATTTAATTATATATAAAAATTATATAAAAAATGTGACAAAAATTTATCCCTATGACACAAACTTAGCAAAACCTAGAAACTAGAAAGAAATGCCGCATGGATTAAAAATGCTAATGTGGATTAAACAGAAATTAACTCATAAAATTTGTTAATTAAATATTAAATTACTTACAACATGAACCCAGATTAATCCACTGCCGGAGAAAACATCTTCTATGGCATAAAACCCAGATTCAAAACCCAGATTCCGATCTGGGTTACACATTCATCTCTGATTAATTTTCCACTTCCCTGGTGATTACACCGTCTACAATCCACATACTTTCTCAATTTTAGTCACAAGACCACCCATTAGCCTATTCTAAATGTCAACCAAAACCCAAATTTCAGAACAATGTGCCTCCAAAACTCTGCAACTCTATTACCTACCATCAATAGGAAGATGAAAATGAAGATCAGGATTCACAGTCACCTTAGATATAGTGCCATCTAGGCATCGACTGGGGCAAAAAATAATAATAATAATAATTTAAAATTAGAAAATTTTCAGATCTAAAAGAAAAGGTTTCCAATTTTCAGATCTATAGATTTCAACAACAATCGAAAATCGTAGCCGAATACCCAATTCTTTGAAGAAGCTTCGTATCCGGATTATGAACTGAAAGCAATTCCCGGTAAGGCAGTCTATTTAAAAACCCAGACTCTTATCATGGTCTTCCTCGAGTTATAACGAAACTAGCAATACAAGCGCTTGAAACCCAATTCAGGATCCAACTCAGAGACTTACCCCACCACCTCCATGGCACCCTTTGGGAGCTAGATATTGCTAGAGAATGGAGAGGAGGGAGAAATGGGAGAAGGTTTGAAGACAAACAGGAGAAGAGAGACCTGAGATCGCCAGATTGGGGAAGAAGACACTCTCAGGGTAGTTCTGTAATTTTTAGTTACCATGCATGTGTTTTAATTCCAAATAAATGCAGGGGCATTAAAGTAACTTTAAATTAAGTCCATGTCACTTGATTTTATAATTGCCACCTCATAATAAAAAAATGCCATATCATTAACTTTTTTCCACTTAATTTTTTATATTAAGAGAAATTAAATTATTTAATAGAGAATTTTATCACATCATTACTTAACCGACAAAATAACTAAATTGGTACCGAAAGTTGATGTTTGGAAAATACTTTTAGCATTTTTTAAAGTTTAAGGGTAAAATTGGTTCAGATACAAAAATTGAAGGACCAAATCAGATATTTAGTGTATAGACTATACCATCATGCGTTACCATATATTATACATTCAATGGTAGGGTTCTCCTCTTTATTGAAGGGTTTCTCCATAGTATTTTACAGTCTTGGTTGTCCAGACTGTAAAATATATATTTTTAATTAAATAACACGTATATGGTAGAATACTTAAAATTTTTCTTTTGAACAAATTTGTAAGGGATTGAATTCGAATCGTTATCTTAAAAAAAGAAAATACACATACACGTAACCTGACGTCACTGGATTGAAGGACAGGTGCTGGTAGAATACATAATTAATATTAATTTTTTATGAGAATTTAATATTATTTAACTATAGAATAAAAAAAATACTTATGAGATACAAATAGAAGAAAACATATTATGCGTAACCAAAAAATCTAGAGCAATTCTAGTGGCACTGGCCAATTCCACTCTCCAGCCAACACTTCCACTGTCATTGGGCCACGTTATTTGGTTGCAAGAGTTTACTGTTTACCTTTCAAAGCCTAAAAGTAAGCTTACGTGGCCCAATAAAAAGTCATGTGTTGGCTGGAGAGAGCAGAAAGCGAGTGCCCTAGCACTCCTAAAAAATCTAAGGAGCAGAAACGTGTAATGGAACTTCATTTTTTTTTGGCCTTTGTCATTGAAATCTCATTGTTTCTATCATTTATGGAGGTCTGGGACGAGAAAAATGTGAACATAAAGATATTAATTATATATAT